AAAATTTCGGCGACGGCGGGAACGGTGGCAGTGGCGGCGCCGGCGGCCTTCTCCATGAACACGGTGTCTTCGCTGTCTTTGGTGCCGCACCTGCTCATTAAGCCCTCCATCGCCTGCTTCTCCAGAAAGGTTGGTTCTTTCTCCCTCTTCCTCCTCGTTTCCGGCTTCCGTTTCTTCCCTGTTTGTTCTTCTCTGAGACTCTGACTGATGCCGCAATAGTGCAAAGACTTTTCCTGTGCGAAACGATTTTAGGTTCCGAATGAATCCTGCTTCTCGCTGGGTTCTTATCTCCTTCATTCGTTTGCGTCAATTTTTTTTTTTGGAATTGGCAATCTGCTGGATACTCAGGCCTATCTCTGCTCATCGCTGAGTTTTCTCCCCAGCAGCTTCAGCACTAGATTTGTGGGAATCGGACAGTAACCCAGGGTAGCTCTTAGTTCTGACGACGACGATGATGCTATGGCTGTGCAGGGCGTTGGCCGCTATGGCGGAATCAAGGTGTACGCCGTGCTCAGGGAAGACGGAGCTGAGTTTGCCAAGAACAACAACCTGGAGGCCCTGTTCCACGTGGATGACCCCGGGCCGAGGTGCCCCATCAAGAAGGGTAAGTTCCTGGACGTGAACGAGGCCCTCGAGGTGGTCCGATTCGACATCCAGTACTGCGACTGGAGGGCGCGCCAGGATCTCCTCACCATCATGGTTCTCCACAACAAGGTACCAAATTCAGTTCAGTTTCTGTGCTGCTAAGTTCAGAGAAACACAACCATTGTTTCAGTTCAGTTCACTTGCTGAATGAATGCTATCAGATGTTCAACCATCTATGTAGCTAGCAACTGACACATATTTCGTGCCATGGTGCATTGATGCAACTGAAATGCAGGTGGTCGAGGTCCTCAACCCCTTAGCGAGGGAGTTCAAGTCGATCGGAACCTTGAGGAAAGAGCTTGCCGAGCTGCAGCAGGACCTGGAAAAAGCTCACAATCAGGTATGCTACCATACCAGAACAAGCCGTCAGGAAACCCTTCAATACGGGATTACGGAATACCAATACCACCACACAGGACCTAACCTGATGCTTGTTTTACATGTCTGATGCAGGTCCATCTATCGGAAGCTAGAGTCTCATCTGCGCTTGACAAGCTAGCGCATATGGAGACCCTGGTGAACGACAGGCTATTGCCACCGGATGGAGCCTCCAGTACGTCCACAGCCGAGCCCACTTCCCTGGTTCCAAGCACATCGTCCACCGCCCATGTCCGAGCCAAGAAACAGCCACGTCGGAGTCTTAACGTGTCCGGCCCAGTGAAGCCGTACAATCCCAGCCTGAAGAACTTCTGGTACCCAGTTGCCTTCTCCAGCGATCTGAAAGATGACACCATGGTAAACTAAACCACTGAATGTCTCAAAGCCATTACAGAGTCAGAGTTGGGAGTTGCTGAAGCGTGTGTGCTTACTTGATGAGCTATTCATATGTGCATTCTTAGGTGCCGATAGATTGTTTCGAGGAGCAGTGGGTGATATTCCGAGGAAAAGATGGAAGGCCTGGGTGTGTTCAGAACACATGTGCTCACAGGGCTTGCCCGCTGCATCTTGGTTCAGTGAACGAGGGTAGAATCCAGTGCCCCTACCATGGTAAGAACAGAAAATCTCGTACTGTATGAATTAGTTCAGAGATTCTCAGGGTCACTGTCTGAATAACTGAATTAGTATTTAGTAGTGACAATTAGATTCTCATGCTTATAAACCACAAATTTTTCTCTTAAAAGGTTGATGTATTGGATCCTGCACATTTAGTTCTGCAACCTTAAAAGTAGTTGAAAAATGCTGTGACAAAGGAGGAAATTTATTTTTTCGACATTCTTATTGTTCTTTTGTGATATTGGTTCAACAAAAATATCACAAAAAGCAAGGATGATGCATAATTAACATCTAGGATTTATAACGATCTCCAGGTTGGGAGTACTCGACTGATGGGAAATGTGAAAAAATGCCATCAACAAAGATGCTCAACGTGCGCATCCAGTCATTGCCATGCTTTGAGCAGGAAGGAATGGTTTGGATTTGGCCTGGGGATGACCCACCAAAGGCTACAATCCCTTCTCTGCTGCCTCCTTCAGGATTTACGATTCACGCAGAGGTAAAGGGAAATCCTCCTATGATGCAGCGATTTTATTATGGCACAGATGTATTATATTGTAACGGTGTGTTCTTCTGATCATCCACAGATAGTGATGGAACTGCCAGTTGAACATGGACTCCTCCTGGACAATCTGTTGGACCTTGCTCATGCTCCTTTTACACATACATCCACCTTTGCCAAGGGTTGGAGTGTTCCAAGGTATTATATACCTTGCATCTCACTTGTGAAGACTGACTGACGAATATACACTTTCATAACCGTGGTGATATTATTTGTGCAAATCAACATGCTGATATTGTGTTATTTCTGTCAGTTTGGTGAAGTTCTTAACGCCTGCATCTGGGCTCCAAGGGTACTGGGATCCTTACCCGATCGACATGGAGTTCCGACCACCGTGCATGGTCCTGTCGACCATTGGCATCTCAAAGCCTGGAAAGCTAGAAGGGAAGAGCACCCAGCAATGTTCTACACATCTCCACCAACTCCATGTTTGCTTGCCCTCCTCTACGAATAAAACTAGGCTGCTGTACCGGATGTCGCTAGACTTCGCTCCATGGCTCAAGCACGTACCGCTCATGCACCTGCTGTGGTCACATTTCGCAGAGAAGGCAAGTTCCATGCTCTTGACAACTACTTTGCTAATTTTGCTGAGCTTGTGCTTAACCGTGGTTAAGTTTATTCACCATTGTTATCTATAAAGATATCAATCAATACGATCAAGGAAATACTGAATTAAAAGTACCTCTCTGAATACTGATTCTAAAGTAAGCCAGAATGCAGCTGGAATTGATTCACAAAATGTTCTTGAAATCTCTAATATCTGATCGTGCTACTCCTGGATGATCATTGTGCAGGTCTTGAACGAGGACCTACGGCTTGTTCTTGGTCAGCAAGAGCGAATGATCAATGGCGCCAACATCTGGAACTGGCCGGTATCATATGACAAGCTCGGGATCCGGTATCGGTTGTGGAGGGACGCCGTTGAGAGGGGCTCTGACCGGTTGCCATTCAGTAACCAAGCTGAGAGGGGCTCTGACCGGTTGCCATTCAGTAACCAAGCTGGGAGTGGATCATAGCCGGTGGGCCTCTTCACCCGTAGTCTCTTTGTTCCTCGTCGCATTTCTTCGCGAGACAACGGCCAGAATTAGTTACCTAGGCGTGCGTCTCTGCGCGGCCTGATGCTGCTGCGCGTTGAAGGATTCTATCTGGAAGGTGAAGGCTGATGGAGAGGAGGATGGGCAACATCATCGTCTCTGGTCTTGAAATGTACACTAGCGACGGCATCATGGGATGCAATTGTAATCTGAGATTGATCTTTTTCTTTTTCTTTTCTTGCCCCTTTCTTCTTCTTTTTCACCCTTTTGTGTAAAGATTCAGCAATGTTACTCTGTCAAAGCATGTATAATCATACTACCAACTACGGAGACATGTTCATATGAGAAATGGCAGCTATTCCTACAGTACACGTGTCCCGTTTGTTGACTCGGTTTAGTCACCCTTGGTTTGCTAATTCAGGGAAGCAAGTTGTCTGTTGGAAAAATTCAGTTAATGCTACTACATGATACTTGCTTCCCTGAATTATCAACTTGCTTTCAGATGTACTGTATTATCAACTGAACAGCTCTGCGTTTCAGATGTATCTCCAGGTTTCTTTTGGCATGCATTTGATCTCCTCTTTTGCTAGCCTCCTTTTGTGCGAATCCCTGTGAAAATCTGACAATGTGGAGGATCTTTTGTCAGAGTTTGCGCGAACAAAAAAAAAGTTTGGTATCGATATGGAACTGTCACAGGTACAGTCAGACAGATTGTCAAAAGAATGCATGGTTGGAACTTGCACGGGGAGATTCCGAGATGGATAGAGGCAAGAATGCTGAATGCAGCAGTATACTTGGGCCGTGTTTAGTTGGAGGCCGATCTTCGCCGCCGGATTCACTGACACATGCACTGTAGCGTTTTGTTTTTATTTGGTAATAATTGTCCAATCGTTGACTAATTAGGCTCAAAACGTTCGTCTCGTAGAGTACAACCAAACTGTGCAATTAGTTTTTGATTTCGTTAATATTTAGTACTCCATGCATGTACCGCAAGTTTGATGTGATGGGGAATCTTCTTTTTGCATAGTGTCAAATTATGGAAAATGAGAGAACTAAACATGGCCTTGTCTGGAACCAGCATTCATCTGTCGCTTTGTTTTCAGGGTCAGTAATCGTCTAATCGAGTTGCACGTTAGGTTTTGCTTTGATCTCTGGAACCCGTCAGGACTCGGTGAAAAATGTAACAATTTGAAAGTGCTCCAGGTATTCTTTTTGCACATTAGCAGTTATTACCTCCTTTTTATACGAATATTTGTGAAAAATGTAACAAATTGAAAGAATTTTTACAAGTGTTTGCGCCTAACAATACAGTTGGCATGGATGGAACTGTCCCAGAGACAGTCAGACAGACAAGATTGTCAAACTCAAAACCATTGTTGGAACTTGGAAGGGAGATTCGGAGATGGAAGTGCAGCAGTCATCTGGAAGTGGAACTGGAAGTGGAACTGGAAGCAGCATTCATCTGTCTCTAATCGAGATGCACATCAGGTTTTGCCGTTTTGGACATTAGATCCCGAAAGATGCTGTGCCGGGCTTCAGGATTTGTCAGTATGTTTCAGCTAGCTTCATGTATGTTCATCACAAAAGCAAAAAACGGCAAGGTGACTCGGTGTGACCGTATGAGCCAGTGTTTTTATAGTACAGTTACACTGAAGTTACAGGCATATAGCGTACAGAAACGTGTATCCGACTAACACGGAAACACCGGACGGCACACGTGCGCATGGCACGGCACGGTGCCGCTTTGCCTGCGTCGGGTACACGGGTCACAGGGGCGCGGCGGCGGCGAGCCCCGTGAGCGCGGGGCCGAGGGCTCGGCCGGCGCGCGGGACGATGGCGTGAGCGACGCCCGGCAGCATGGGCGAGGTGAGCAAGCCGAGGAGGAACCAGTTGAGGCCGAGCAGCGCGACGGCGTCGCCCGCGGGGCCGGCGCGGTCCCCGGCCCGGCGCAGCCGAGACACGCTGCGCATGGACACGCCCACGACGGCGAACAGGCCCGCCAGCAGCGGCAGGCATGGCGCGTCGGCCGACCACGCCACCACGCCCACAGCCAGCAACATGCCCAGGCTGAACAGGCTCCGGCGCCGCGCCACCGCCGTCGCCAGGGCCTCGTCCGCGGCGGCGCTGGACGACACCGACGAGGCCGCCTCCGTCGTCAGCGCCAGCACCGACGCCGGGTCGGCACGTTTCGCGCCGTCCTCCCCCGCCGCCGCCGCGTCTTCCTCTCCCCGCCCTCGTTTCGCCGGCTTCTTGTCAGTCTCGGACGCGCGGCTGCCGCCATTGCCGTGGCGAGCCGCCGCCGGCCCCGTGGGCTTGTCCCACTTGGACTTCCCCTTGTGCTCGTTGAGCCGCATGTTCTCCTGCCTCAGCGCCTTGAGCTGAGGAGCAGCAGAGAGAGGAAGCTCCAATGACTGGAGTAGACAGGAGAAGGGAAGGAGACGATTATACATAGACGTTTATGCACCTGGGTCTCGAGGACATTGATCCTGGCAAGGGCGTCCTCGTGCTCGTCCTCCATCTCGTCAAGAACCGCCTCCACGGCCTCCTGCTCGCGGAGCGCCGCCCGCAACCTGTCCTCCAGCGTCGTGTTCTCCCACGCCAGGTCGTCCATCTGCGCCTGCATCTCCGCAACCAGCCGCCCCAACTGGAACGAACAATGAACTGTCAGATGCAACGGAAACCGGCCATGAAGTGAGACCAATCCAAAGGCAGGCTAAAAAGAATAACAATGTCACCTTGCGCTCCCTCTCGACGGCGGTGAGCATGCGGAGGGGGAAGGCGATGAAGGTGACCGCCCACGCCATGGCCTCGCAGCAGAGCAGCGCGGGGAGCTGGAGCAGACGCCGGAGCGCGCGCGCGCAGGAGACGAGCAAGAAGCAGCAGCTCCAGGCCAGCTCCATGCCTGCTAGTTACGAGCCATGGCGCCTCGTCTGTCCAGCACTGCACGGTCTAACGCTCCACAGCATGGAAGAACGAAGAAGAGTACTCGAGTCGTACTAGGCAGGTTGTTCGGTTTGTTCCCTCTTGAGCTACACCCTTGAGGTGATCTGGTGAGGAGATGAGGTCGGAGACTGGATGGAAGAGTTCCGGATTTGGGGGGCGTGGGACACGTGAGCTCCGGCGGGGCGGCACACGTGCACCTCCGATCCCCGCGTGTCTTGCAGGCGAGCACGTATCACGGCGAGCGTCGGCTTCGCCACCACGGATCCATGCTTCGTCACCAACTCACACTCACCCATGCTTCTTGTTGCGATCCTATCCATTACACTATTATATATATATATATAATATAGTACTCTGCCCTGCATCCTGGATCGCCGCTTCTTCCACCTTCCATCCTATCCCGATCCCATTCCCATCCTGGCCTCCTCGGAGTGCGTGATAGTACAAGGCTACAAGCGTAAAAGCGTTGGGATTTCTCTCCTCGTGTGTAGAGTAGGCGAGCGATGTACGCCACGTTCGTTTGGCCTTGATTTGCTCGTAAGCTAAGCTATGGGTTAAAGTATTGCTGGCTGATTTAGTCTGAGAGAAAAATATTGTTCGTTCGTTAAAAAGTATTGTTTATAAGTTAAAGAGTTAAGTCTAATTTACACCCTTCAATTTGCAACAAAGTTGAACCTAAAACTTAGTATTTGGCCCTCCACTTCTGAAAATTTCAAACCTTAGGCTCAAACAGTAATTTTTGATATTTTTTCGAGTGCGAACCATTTTTCGAGCATAATTAGTTTTTTTTTAATTTAAGTCTCATCACTACAAAATTGTAATCTCATGATACTCAAATTTCACAATATTCATCGATGTCGGATGAAGATTTTTATATGTAAATTGTGATGAGATCTACAACTTTGTAGTTTTGAGTTTTTTCATTTGAGGACAGTAAGATTTTGAATTTTTTATCGAGGATGAGACTCAAATTTCAAAAATATGCCCTTCAATACGATGTCGGATGAAGATAATTTTTATATGTTTGTAGACTCCTGAGATCTACAACTTTGTAGTAGAGTTTTTTCATTTGTGGACGTTAAGATGCTCGAAAAAATAATATAAAATTTCAGTTCCCGAAAATATCAAAAGTTACTGTTCACCCACAAAACCGCCCGAAGGTTGAAAGTTGAACTTTTTCAAGAGTTGGAGGACCAAAGTTGTCCGGTTTTGAAGTTCGAGATTGAAATCCGAACTTTGCTGCAAGTTGAAGGATGTAAATTGGACTTAACCCTAAGTTAAATAAGTCCAAACGAGGGCGATAGCCTGGGTTGTACTGTTCCGCGCTGTTGTTGCGCTGCTGAGTTCTGTGTTACCTGAATATTGAGAGTTCTTGGTTTGGTTCGTTTGCGTTCTTTGGTTTGTGAAGAAGTATTGTGAGTTGTGTGAGAATATTGAGAAAAATACTATTCTACATTTACGATCGCCATGGTCATTGCCATAGTCACACATTATAACTAAATCCATATAAAACAGTAATATCTATGATAGCAAATAAAAATATTAAATCAACGGCATGGCTAGCACCCGACGTTCAGGACGCTAGTCCCCGTACGGGCACCTGCGCCTGCCTGCTTGACGCGCATGCTGCTGCTGTCTTCCCGGTCTGCACACGCCCGCATACACCTGCTGCTACTGCGCGCCTACGTATGCGGCCCAGGCTGCTGCGCATGCTATTGCTGCCTGCATGCGCCTGCTGCACGCCCCCGCCATGCTCCTGCTACACGCGCCCGCCTGGACCTGGTGCTGCTGTGCGCCTCTACGCATGCCATCTGCTGCGCATGCATGTCATGCTGCTTGGGATGAATGCGCGGACCGTGTCGCACGCTTCCCGTGCCTGCTAAGTATAACTTGCAACATAAAATACTTTGCAATATACATCTAAAACAAATAAAATATTTGAAAAAAACATACCCTTACAACATATGTGTATAGTCGCTACAACATATGCAACATTCAAATAAAACACTTACAACATACTTCTAAAAACAACTGAAACATTTGAAACATACACTTACAACATACATGTATGGCTATTGCAACAAATGCAACTTCCGGATAAACATTTACAACTTGCAACATGAAAACACTTGCTGCAACATAAGACTAAAACATTTAAAACATACTCTTGCAAAATATGAGTGAAACATATCAATATCCAGATCAGAACGCTTGCAAACATACGTCTGAAACAGATAAAACATTTTAAACAAACGCTTGCAACATTTATCTGAAACACTTGCAACATATGCAACATCCCGATATACTTTTGCGACATCCATATGAAGCACTTGCAACATACCTCTGAAACATCTGAAACACTTGAATATACGCTTGCAACATGCGCTTTAAGCGTAGCGCAACATCTCCATGCTGCTTGGGAGAATAGAGGCTCGTCAGCGTGTGTTCACCGGAGGCGCCGCCTGGCGGCGACGGCTGCGCAACATGGCAAGGAGGACGTGCCAGCACGACTAGGAGATGGAACCAGATCCGCTAGGGAGCCACTCATGCTAGCCCTACCGCGCTGGTCCCCGTGACTGGGGCCGCCGGCACCGTTGCGCCGCCGTGCCGAGACGCTCGTCCGCACCGTAGAGATAGGGGGAAGGGAGTAGCGCCAGAGGCACGACGAGCGGTGGCTGATAAGGCATGCATGCGGGCACAGGCGTGTCAAGGTCGGGGTAAAGACGCGTGCAAATCAGATCCAGATACAAGCGCGGGCGGGGTACATGTACAGGGGCGGTGCGGCATGGGTTAGGTCCGTCCGTCCGGAGGTCCTCGTTTTATCATTATCGTGAAATCAATCATGGGATATATTATTTTTAATTATACCTACGTAGAGTTATAAATATTACTAATATTTTCTATAAAATCAGTTAAATTTAAGAAGTTTGACTCAATTCAAATTCAGAACTTTATCTTTTATGGACTTAGGTGGTCTAGTAATTATAGTACCTCCCAATTATGTAAACCCTGAACAAGCTTTGAAACTCAGCACTCAACTGCACAGGCGCATTGTGTCAAAAAAAAAAACTGCACAGGTGCACAGCACAGGTTCAAACCAAACACCAGTTACTAGAGCTTCTTTCTGTTGTACTTTCAGTACTGTACAAAAGATGGCAAAGGTGTCTTATCTTTCTTATATTCTTAAATAAAGCACCCTTGCTGTACAAAACACTTGGGATAAGTTACTTTAAATCAACACCTATTTACACTCTGAGGCCTGAGTGTTTTTGTTTCTATGGTACAGCCTTGGCATGGTGGCAGAGGGGAAAAAAAGACCATGCCTTATTTTGTCGTGTGACTTGTGTATCTCCAAGTACGTACAACCTGCTTTGTTTCACCTTGTGGTGGATGAGTGTAATCTGTACAGTGTGGTGCGAGCACTTAAACTGTGGAGCGCTTCAGAGCTGAGAGCGCTTTAGGTAGACGATTACCAGTTTACCACGACGCCGGCGAGGGCAACGGCGCCGGCCACAACGCTAAACCGGAGAGACGTCCGCGCTCTCTGTGAGGTTGAGGTATTCGCTCGCGGCACGGTGGATTCAGTCATAACCTGGGAGTCGTCCATATGCAGCCTCAGAACCTGAGACAGGAAAGCAAACTCTGAATATCTGCTTTGCATGGGGGGAAGGGCATTTTGGTAGTTCAGTGGGCCAAACAGGAAGATAATTACCTTCCACCCAGCTGATTTGGCATGCTGGATTGCTGCAGTAAGGTCACTATTGCTAGTCACGAGAACCCTGTCACCTTCATCGTCGTCGTAATGTTGAGCATGAAGAACAATTCAGGTGAGTGCATTACCAACAAATTGTGTAATAAATTTCGAGGACCTACATCTTGTCCAATTAACATGTGGGTGCTTCCAAGACAAGAATCCACATCTTACCAGAAGGTTGATGCTCGACTTTTCACCATCCGTTCCTAGCCTGTATGCCACAGTAGAGACAAGTTCGTCTAAGCTTTCTGAAACTGTGTGTAGACAGAAAAGGAAGCACAGCCTTATGATGCATCGTCAGGAAACAAAATTCAGGAAAGAGCAAGGAGCACTAACCACAACTGAATCTGTGCATACACCCTTTTCTGTCTTCAATTTTAAAACAGAAAGAACTGTTAACATGAGGAGGATGTACATGTTTCCCGTCAGCACTGTCTGATGCCACCATTCGAGACTCATCACTGCACAGGTTTAAGCAAGTAATAAGGGGAAAAAAAGGAGCTTTTGTAAGTGGAAAGCAAACATGCAAGCAGAAAAAGATCAACCTACGAGCATCAAATTCTTCTGCAGGATGCATGGCCAGAGCAGAATCCCAAAACTTCTGCATCAGACTGTCTGCCAGATCATTTGCTCCAGATGTTCCCTCACCCTAATGAAAACAAAAGATAAGGATTATGTAGTGATAAAAATTTAAGTTGCCGCTAATACAAGGCAGAAGCTTATCTTTTCTCAAACGAAAGCAGAAACTTATCTAAGCATTTCAGATCTCAGTTCCACAAATACAAAAATTTACTTTTGTCATTCCCAATTAAGCCTAATAATGTATCTCATTAAAAGGGCAGACCCAGTGCCGGAGGCTCCCGAGTGGGGTCTGGGGAAGGGAAAAACCGAGGCAAGCCTCCCCCCGCAAAATCTGCGGAGAGGCTACTTCGAACCCACGACCTGCTGACTCAGTGAGACAGCTCTCACCACTGCACCAGGCTTGCCCTTCTAATAATGTATCTCATTCTCTCTTGAAATCTCAGCTCTGTTCAGATAAAATATTACTTATTACCATAGCAAAGAAGTGTCCAGTATAGTGTTGTAGCGAGAAAAGGTTTTGCCCTCACCATGGATATGGCTGCATGGGCTAGCTGTAAAGCATCCAAACACGCAATAATCTGTCCATCTATCCAAATATTTAAGTTAGCTACACAGTTAAAA